GTCTGACTCTAGTTCTGGACCAGAATCCGGTCCAGTCTTCTCCAGCAGAACCGTTTACACCAGCAGTGATTAAAAACTGTACGAGGAACAAGAACTCTTCACACGTCAGGAACGTTATGAAGTCAAACCTCCTGAATGTTCGTCAGCACTGAGGGTTATTAATCAGTTAATAATTAATTATTGATAGTTATTAGTTAATCATTAATTCTTACTTATGAGGTGATGTGTTAAACCAAACGCTGCAGTTTCCTCGAGTCTCTGCTTCGGAGCTGGTTTTGGTGTGATGGACCCGAGAGGTTCACGATGCTCCAGATCCAAGCCCACGCCACATTTACAGAATCAAACCACCGACCCATCAGTCCTTACAGGAAGTAGTTTACAGACGCATCACAGGGTTATTAAAGGTCAGACGGTGTTTCCAAGCTAACATAAATCAAAATAAAAGTTTCACCTCTTTAAAAAAAAAACACACTTATTTTTAGTTAATTAAAATCGTTTTTTGGGTCTTCAGCATTTTCCACGATCATTCTAAGGTGTGATGTCATCTGAGGTGTGATGTCATCTGAGGTGCGATGTCATCTGAGGTGCGATGTCATCTGAGGTGTGATGTCATCTGAGGTGTGATGTCATCAGTGCCAAACAGAATCCCAGCATGTGAAGACCAACAGTCTGCTGGTGGAAAACCGAGCCGAAACTCCAACACTCGGTTCCTGAGATCCAGCTGTTGGTTCTGGTTCAACATCCATCAGACCCATGACGGCATTTCTTCATACTCCACAAAGTGTTGAGCTTCCATTTTCACTGATACCGTGACCGTAACCTCGCCCTGTGTCCTACAGCGGCCCATCACAGCTGTCACCGATGACATCATCAAACAGGGACGGTAACTTTCACAATCAACACTTTTCTGGGTTTTTACACAAAAATGCTCAAAACAAGTTGATCCATTTTAAAATGAGAGCTGGGTCAGTGGGATGTTTTATGGTTTAGCCGTCTCTCTTCGTCACTAAATGACGCTTCGAATGAATGAACCGATCTTAAATACAGCTGCTTCACAACCGCTTCATCGCTTCTGCTGAACGAATCATCTGTGTCTTTGTTCTCGTCCTGTTAGTAAAATATCTCTTGAACCATCGGACAGACCGTAATCTCTGGCTAAACATCCACAACAGTAACTTCAGGAGTCAACCTGACTCAAGATGGCCGCCACAGCTAGCCAACAGTGAGATGACAGTTTCAGGGAGTTTTGAGCTAACGTCAGTGTGGTAGTAGCTGAGAGTCAGAAGCAGGAAACACATTTTACTCCTGCTCCACCTGGAACGACAGGCCTTGTAGCCTCCGTTTGTGTTTGTAGGGTACATTAGCTGTGGCGGCCATCTTGAATTGGGTTGACTCCAAAGCTTAATCAGCTGTTTTTTTGCTCTTAAGGAAGTGAAACGCCAAACTTCTCCTCCTCCTTCCTGTTCAACAGGAAGAGCAGGCGAGCAACACCACCGTGCATTTCAGGAAGATCCAACATGAGCTCGACGACGCAGAGGAGAGAGCCGACATCGCCGAGACGACCGTCAACAAGCTGCGGATTCGAACCCGCGAACAGACCCGCAGCAAGATCACGGTGGTGAGTGACGGACAAACAAACGTCCCGTGTGAGCGTTGTGTTTGAGACGGTGTGTGTTCCTGCAGGTCACTGAATGAAGCGCCCGCGCTGAGCGCCGCCAGAGTTCGTGTGACGTTTGCTGTGCGCCGAGTCACCAGGAAGCAGCTCCTGCTGCCACGTTCTGATGATTCGTTCAGTTTTGTCTGCTGTGATCTCTTAGACTGGTTTCACCTTCTTCACTTCCTGTTTGATTTAGACGAGAGGGGCAGTGAGTTTGACCTTACTGACCTCAGTATTTAGAGTCCCCGTGTTACTTTATTCTGGTAATTTTCTTTGACTCTGCCTTGTTTTGCACTTTGCTTTTATTTTGGAAGTCTTTATCCCTTTTAGGTTTGTTGTCAATAAAGACTTTAGTTGTGGTGAACCGTCTCACTTCCTGTCAGAGTTCTCTTCCTTCCTCGAAGAAAACAAACATTCTGAAACAAACAAAACCAAGTTTTCCTGATGCTGCTCAATAATCCAGGTAGAAAAATCTAAAAAAGTTAAGTCTGGTCCTCTGGACATTCAAAAAACAGATCCAGTCCCCCGGCACAAACAGAGTAATATTGTGTATGCTGTTCAGTGTCAGGAGGTGATCAGTCTTACATCGAGGAAACTAAACAGCCACTGACCAAAAGGATGGCCCAGCACAGAAGATCAACATCATCAGGCCAGGACTCTGAGGTCTACACTCATCTCCAGGCCAGCGGTCACTCTTTCAGGGATGAAGATGTTCACATCCTGGACAGAGAGGAACGATGGTTTGAGAGAGGAGTAAAGGAGGCCATCTTTGTGAAAAGAAACCGTCCATCATTAAACAGGGGTGGAGCCTCCAGGTTCAACTGTCCCCCTCTTACAATGCTGTGATTGCTAGTATCACTCAGCCCTCTGTGAACAGTAAACAGCCATCAGGTGCTAATGATCCATTGTTAGGCTGATGGTCCTTCTTGAGCATGTGATCAGCTGGTTCTGGTTGTCAGCAGCAAAACTGGTTGATCCACTCTGAGAAGGTGCTATTTAAGAGACTGAGCTGAATACAGCACCTCAGACTGAGGAAGTCCTCAGGATGAGAGACGAAACGTTTCTACATTTTTTTTGTTTTGCTTTGTTTTGTTTTTTGAATGTCCAGAGGACCAGATTTAACTTTTTTAGATAACCAATTTTCATTTATAGAACTCATCTAAATAAAATCTGAATCAATTTCAAATCAATTTAGAATCAGGGGTCAGATTTTTATATAACTGAAAACTAACTGTAGCCCCAAAAGAACAGTTTAAAACAAAAACTGTACCAACATCTTCAAGACCGGCCGACGGGTTCTTATAGACCGGCCGACGGGTTCTTATAGACCAGCCGACGGGTTCTTATAGACCGGCCGACGGGTTCTTATAGTCCAGCCGACGGGTTCTTATAGACCGGCCGACGGGTTCTTATAGACCGGCC